GGGAAAATTGGTTAAATGGATTAGTGAATTGGAGAACAAGATTGGGTTTAATTGGAACCAATATCTTTGGAATGTGCAAAAAAGTTATAGACTAGCCGTCCTGCTGTCTCGTCGGTAGTGACAGAATCCACCCGACCACACCCATATTTAAAACCAAGATAATTGCTGGTCGGCCGCAAACATGGTCACATATTTAATCTAATTTGGAAATAAATTTGAAGACTAAGATGGTGTGGTCTTCTGTTTAATCGCGGCCTCCTTCAGCTGTAGTGTTGTTACGACCTCGTCTCTCAACTTGGTCGGACCGGCAGGGAGACCTTGTGGAATGCGCCAAATCCTGCGTCTTATTCCATCGAATATTGATGATAATTTTCGACATTGGCCCATTGACTTGGTATATTCACAGACGTTTCGCCGGCATCGTCAATCAGAGGCGTTATGCACAAAGTCAGCGGTCCGATGCTGAAAATTATCAATAATTTGGCAGATGACGTAGGACTATACATGTTCCACAAGGTCTCTATCGCGAAAACTACTTTAGCAACCTAAATAAAGCATCCGATGATTTGATCGACTAATTCACGTTTACTCATGTTTGTAGATGAGTTAATTTGATGAAGAGTCAAATATGGTCGCAGCTGTCTCTTCATAAATAAGCCAGTATTTAGGCATATTTAGGCATGTGGTACTGTGTATTGCATCGATGCACTGATCAAATCATGTGGGGCGTGAAAGCCCAAAAGAGCTTCGAACAACCCAGAAGAGACTATTTAAGCATTTAGGCAACTATTTAGGCAACGGCGACTCCACATGAAAGCATATGATTAGGATGTAAATAGAAGTTATAAGAACAGCCAACACGTTGAATGTGAGGAATGAGCATAAGAAACTTAGCTGTTGGATAGGCTGAATGAGAGGGAGGAGGGCAGGAAAGACCGCTGAGCAGAAAGATGGAATAGTCTCGAGTCCGGTTAGGGCTCCCAAACCACGAGATCGCACTGTATGTATACCACAAGCGTCAAAATTATAGGATCAGAGGCCGATTCCTTTCACTAAGGAAACAATTGCGACAACATGCATTTCCTTTTCATGAATCAACTGCGCCCATCTTCATAATGAATTATAATAAGCAAGTAGGTTTGCAGCCATCCATATATTCTACTGGTTTAGTATATTGGTGCATTTTTTCACAAAATGATTTCTTCCTCTGATGATGTCTTACACAAAACAGACGAAAGCTCTTCACAGAGTCATCAGACGCAGAACGGTGAGCAGTGAGATTCAAGACAATCTTCTTCTTGTACATGAAGTGTATTCATCCTATTTCGCTAAAGGTGATAAGGGGACTGATAGCTGAATATCCCACAATCATATGAGTACACCTTATGTTTCCATCGAATTTCACATAGCCTTGTCTTCCCAAAAGTTTTAACATTTAGATCCGACTGGACTACAGTCTAGACCTCACCCGAGCTGGTTTAATCGGCACCTCTAGTGTAACTTGAACCACAATAGTGCAGTGTATAATCTCCATACGTTAACCACTACGCCACATTACCACGAGTGCCCATGGCTAACAAGGCAGGTGTGAATTTTAAGGAATGCCAAGTATTTTCCCAGATAACATTATGTGGTGTAATTGCCGATGAAGCAAACTTGTATTTGCAATAACAATCGACTACGTCACATATTTTTCGTTTAAAAGTAGATATTCGATTATATTTTAATGAAGACACCTTTTGGGAAAACAAGGATATATGAAGGCATGAAAACCAAGGTGATGGTCTAATTCGAAGCTAAAGCCTCAGAATAAGTCTCATAATTAGGCCTTTGCCACATGGACCACGTCTTTTATAAAACCTACTGTCAGCACACTAGCACCCATCGCCGCCGAGTCTATCCTGCTTCTATATCTAATACCAAGTCTTTGACTTGCCATGCCATAGTCTCTTGTGTGCCAACCCACAAACGTTGTGGTTCAATATTGAACCTAGTCAAAGCAAGCAGTACCACAACATTTGTTAGTTGGTACAGAAGAGACTAGGGTATGAGAAGTCATAGACTTGGTATTAGAGATAGAAACAGGATAGACTCGGCTGCGATGGAAGCTAGTGGGCTGACAGTAGGTTTTATAATAGACGTAGTCCATGTGGCAAAGGCCTGACCATGAGACTTACTCAGAGGCTTTAGCCTCGAATGAGTCACCCAGACGCAGGCGAGGGCGAATAACGCCTCGAGTGGCACAGATGGTGTAGCAGGGGTCGAGTGAAATATGTGAACCAGAGGGACGGCAGATGAATCTTAAGGGGCAAGAGACAAACTGTGGTAAGACCTAAGAAAGGAGGACTGCGAAACAATATGGCAGAATCTGATCAACATTCCAGCAAAAGGATGAATGGGGTGAGAAAGCCAGTGTGGAGTGCAGAGGGTTCTCACAAAAGCCGCTCCAAAGGGCACACAGTACCACATTTAATTAAGCAAGTAAAAAATTGGGACGGTGAAGGCGTGATAGGAGCATATAGGAAATGTGAATAGGCCAAGGCAGAAGGGGAGATCCGACTTTGGAAATGATTATGCATACAATGGACTCCGGACAGAGTGCGTTCCTCTATGTCTTCCTACTAATATGACCGAGTTGCGAAAACAAGGTTAAACAACTTCTAAGGATATATGAAATTCTAAAAAAAATGTAAGATCTATCCATGTCATTGTGTGAAAATTCAACTCTCAGCCCCCTTAATCTAAATAGAATGAATAAACTTCATATATAAATGATATACTCGTAGTCTCTAAAATCTACTCATAAGCAAAAATATTATTTCGGTTTCGAGTAACACCAACTCGTAAATGACTTCCTAGCAACTTTTCCTTCAAAATAGAAAATCTATTCACAAAATATAAATTAGGAGATGTACAGAAGTAAGATAGCTATGCAGCGAGCCAGTGAGAAAGTTTTCCTAATGAATTGGTTTTCGAGACTATGAGTAGATGCTGGATAAGAATTTTAGTCAATCAAGGTTGCTCAGGATGATGAATGATAAGTTGTTGCATTTTCTTACAATTATATGAATAGGCCTATGTGCCAGTGAATTGCGCCTAGCGGTATCTCCCAAAAGGTATTTTCATTCAAAGTAAATTACAATTTCGACCTAGTCTTTTAATAAGGCAGAAGCCTAGCTCGACTTGAAATTCATGTCTGCTCTGTAACCCACAAGCGCTCGTGGCGGTGTGGTGCAGAAGTAACATGCCCAAACTAAACAATGCACTTCCCGGATTCAATTCCGTTGGGGGTGCGGATGAGACAAAAGCGATGCAAGAAGTACAGTCCAATTCAGCCTGAGCGATGCAATCATTAAGCTTACTCATGTTGCGAGAAGTCAATTAATTTCTCACCACTTTGATCAACCTAGGGGGTGCTAATTATTTAATAAATTTTTTGTCATAAATATCCATAATTTGATTAAAAGCAAGAGCTTGTTAATCTTATGGATAAGCCGCAATAGGTAGAATTAATTTGGCCCCAGCGCCAGATAGCCTACGGCTTATTAATTTCAATATAAGTAGTAAGTTATGTATCACTTCAGCTCCTAAATTGAGGCAATAAAATTCAAAAGAACAATACATGCGCGTCAATAACCAGACTTAATCTTATTAAGGTGACATGTCCTGACGTAATAACACTTCTGTCGGCTATGGTTCACTTTGTGCAATAATCCGCATAAATATTAGGAAAAATGAAATTGAATAGGTCGTTTTGAATTCGGAAATTCACATAATTAAAAACACAAATCCAGATTTACTTACAATGAGATCTACTTAGCTATGAATTACAAAAAAAACAATCAGAACTGAGCGAAGTGCTCCCCCCCAACTTACGGTCGTCTTGGGATTGTTCTGATAATGTAAGTTCCACCTTTCTTGTCCCTTCTTCCTTCGGATCGAGACCCGTAGCCCCGTGGTGTTCTGGTTGTAGTGAAAATGGCTGCTCATCTCGGGTGGGTGTTCCTGGATCTGAAAGCGCCTCATCTTCTCTATCCCTCGTGATTACTGTTTCTGCTGGCACCAATCGACTTGTTGCCACCTGTCGTTCGTTCCGTGCTAGAAGGTCTACACTAGGTTGCGGCGCTGGCGACTCCATTTCTCGTCGCTCCCAGCGTCGTCGGCGTTCTCGGCGCTCTTCCGAATTTCGACACTCGTGGTGCAGCCGACGTCTTTTCGATGGCGTGCTTCTGTTCTCATTTTGTGTCTCTTCGTCCCCTATTAAACCTGCTTCTAAAAGTTTATGCCTTCTGGAGCCTACATTCCCATCTTCAGCATTATCCGCGTTTTCCTCCAAATCACCTTTACTCTCGAAGCTCCGACTATGCGACCGACGAGAGCGGTGTTGTCGCCGTCGCCAGCGGTTTTGATGGTCTCGACTTTCCTCAACATATCCATCAAAATCATCTCTCTCTCTGATACACTCCCGGCTCCGATGCCGAAATAAATTTGTCTGATCAACTTCTTGTCCTGGCGAATGTAAAGCCGGTGTGAGCGAAGCTGGAAAATTCGACAGTGCTGGAGCCAATGATGAGATTGCTCTGAGTGGTGAGAGCGAGGGGGACGGTGGTTGATAATATTGACGACGCTTGCGAAGCTCAGAAGTTGAAGAATCTGTCACTTCACCTGATATCAGATCTGATTCCGTCACAGCAGGTTTCAGTGTAGTTGGTGCTGCGGTTGGCCGGCGTTGCTGACGCGATTGAGGGGGCGATGACGAAATGTTACTTATGGGCATCCCAATGGATGATGCAACTGGAAGCGCAGGTGGGACAGGAGGTGGTTCGTCGCGTTCCAGAGTTTCGATTATTGCTTTGGAAATGTGGATTCGCTGAAAAGTTAAAGCCATTCGAAAATGATATGAAAATTGTAGTAAGAAAAAATCGGAGTCGAAAGAGGCAACAGGGCATTAGTATAAAAATGAATTTGTAAGGAAAATTTAGTGAATACACGATCATCACAGCTAATCGCGAATTAACTGCCAACCCCTGATTTGAGATGCTCAATTAAATGCACCATAACATTTTATTCACCTTATAAATATATCATTTACATCAATAAAGTAAAGGATGGAATCATGATAAGAGATGTATACTAAGAACCAACTTGGAATACGCAATACTGACATTTAGGTAGTGATCTCTCAACACTAGACTAAGTCAGGGTGATTGGATGTTCTTTCAATCAGTTGCTGGTCGAATAGGCAAATATATACAAAATGGAGGAAAACTACGAATTTCAATAACGTGACTTTTAATTTAGCGATAGGGTAAGAATGGACGAAACGAAAATCGCTTGAGAACTGGGGCATGTAGACTCGCCTGCCAAAACACAAGCGAGGGCCATGAAAAATAAATAAACTTGTTGTAAAGCAGGTGTTCGACAAGCCAAAGTCTGTCTGAGATAAGATTTTAATTTCCTCATTTCAAAAAAATCTAAATTGACTGGTTGAAATGCATAAGCAGAGATATACGAATAATCTAAGCCTACTGA